AGAGAGAGAGACCCTCCGCCCGAGGTCTCTGCTCCTCTCCCGCTCTGGCTCCCTGCCTGCCGGCACGTTCTTACAGCAAGCAACGGGTTCTCATTGTTTCGTGGTTCTCAAGCCACGCTGGGCTCAACTTCTAAATCAACTAGCGGGTTTGATAAGATATGTTAGTTTACTATTAAGAAGGGAAGGGAGGGGAGGAGGGAGTAATGCTGGCTGGAGGTCCTGTGAAATGATGGGAGAAAGCGTACTACGAAGTGCTAATATAACGTAACTTGCTACAAGAAAGGGAGAAACAAGTGAGCGGCAGTTGGTTAGCGCAGCCTTGGTTTGTCTGCCGTGCTAGCATAGCATATGGTACCAATCTCGGATTCTCCTGTGTTTGGATCCGGGCTGGGTCGCTTAGAGTAGACTTAATTGAAATCAGTGGGACGGGGTAGCGGTGGCAACTTAAAGCCCGTTAATTTCAGCAGGGTGACTAACCTGGGGTCATCCAGTGAGCTTTGTCTGGGACACCTAGTTCGACATTTTAACCACTGCAAGGATACTTGGACCTCTTCTGAAGGTTCCCCTGCGGCAGGCTAAGTTTTCTTGGGATCCAGTTGTTTTATCGTATTTCACAGGATTCCTTGCCATAAAACTCCATTTGTAGGAGTCACTATTGTAGGGCAACAGCCCAAACAGAACTTGATGCGCCCAGTTTATAAAAGTCTAGGGTGATTTTGCATGTGAATCTTCTAGGTGCCTCCAAACCATTGTCCTGTTGGATGAATGTTAGGGTGAAATCTACTGTTGTGAATAAGTGTAAATTTTTATGCTGATATACAGTACTAGACTGTGGTAAATAACATGTTAGTAGGGCATCGGTTTGCATATGTTATAATAAACAGGGCTTTATTTCCATTTTTTAAAAATGAGAGCAAGTGTGGGGTAGCATAGATGCTCACACAAGATAACTGACTGGAGGAGGAGTTGCAAGGGTAAGCCATTCCCTGAACATCCCAGATACCTCAAAACCCCAAAAATCTAAGTTGAAAGCAAGTTGATGGCAGAGAGCAGCAACAGTATGTTTAATGTTAGGATCTTGACTTTTTCAAAACACTCCACTTAAATCTGACATATGGGGCCTTATTCAGTTGCAGACTGTGGTTGAATGCCATATGGGCTGTAATCTGTAGTTTGACATCTGTCTGGCTTTACCCCACTGAGACCTTTTGCCACAGTTAATCTTCTTGAATTACTTTTTGCACAAGTCTGTAATCATTCAGAGAAATAAAGTCTTTCTGGAGACAAATGTCACATGAATTAGTCCCAAGGCAAATAAACCACTCTTTACAGTTTGAACCATGGTGATATTTATGCAAACCTCTCTTCCATAAGTCTTGGCTAAACAATAAAGCCAGTGGAATTCTACTCTCATAAATTGTGAAACCTTTCAGAATTGCATTGCAGCACATGGAATTTCAAGAGCAAAACATTTTATTGCTTGGCAGTTGAAGACTTGTTATGGCTCTTGTGAAGGGGGGGGAGAGAGAATTAATAATTTAATGCACATGGGCCAGTTGCCAGGTAGCTGGGGCTCATCAGCCTTGGAAGGCAGACCATCTAGGAGAAGGAAAACTCTGATTTCAAACCTCCACTGCCTTGTGGCTATATCCACTGATGGAAGAGGCTTCAGGAGTTAACCTCAAGGTAAAATCCGGAGCGGGAGTCCCGGAGGCAGTTCGTGTCATTCTGGCAACTCCTGCGACGTCGCTGGAACCAGTTGTATTGCCTCTTGCCTTTCCATTGGACTATTTCAACGATGTGAAGAGGGGGAATTTGGTACTTGGGTAACAGCATATTCTCCATATTATTTTACCCAGGCTTTGTGCTCTGGAGAAAATACTCCAGCTTTGCTTACAGCATCGAAACAATACAGGAAGTAGCAGTTACTGGTTATACGTCTTTGCTCAATTGGCATAGAGTATGATGCCAGGGGCGACTTCTAATGGTGGGGGAGGTCATTGCTCCTCACTAGGTAGCTACCACCTGCTTTAAGCTGGGCAGCCCCCAGTCAGTAAGGTGCTACCTCGCCGCAGTCTGTTAACGTCACGGGGTGCGTGGGGTTTAGGGTGAAAGCTGACAAGCAGATCAATAACCCTGCACCATGTAACAATCACAAGAAAATTTCTGCCCTAATGTTGGGCACCTGGAATGTTTGGACAATGACCCCTGGCTTTTCTGACAAGACTTTTCTGACGACCTCCAGGAAATAGACAACGTGCACAAGACCGCTGTCATCGACATGGAACTGAGCAGACTGCAGGTGGACATTGTTGCCCTGCAAGAGACGGGATTGCCAGACTCGGCAAAGAAAAAAACTTCATTCTTCTGACAGGGAAAACCATTGAATGAGACCAGGGAATATGGTGTTAGCTTTGCAGTCAGAAATACTCTGCTGAGAATCATTCTTCCACCTACCGTGGGGAGTGAAAGAATACTGTCTCTGTAGCTCCACTCATCAGTAGGACTGATCACCCTCATTAGTGCATATGTACCAACACTGTCATCCACAACAGAAGTCAAAGACAAATTCTATGACGATCTGGCAGCTACTATCAAAAAAGTCCCTGAAAGAGAGCCACTGTTCATTCTAGAAGACTTTAACACTAGAGTTGGTGCTGATCACAATTCTTGACCCACTTGTCTAGGCCATTTTGGAATTGGGAAGATATACAAAAATAGCCAATGCTGCTGGAGTTTTGCTGTTATTATGGTCTTGTGTCAGCAACACATTCTTTAATATGAAGATTCAACACAGAGTTTCCTGGAGACATCCAAAATCCAAGCATTGGCATCAGCTCGATTTGATCCTCAGTACACATTCTAGCCTTCCTAGTATTGCGATCTCATACAGCTACCACAGTGCTGATTGTGATATTAATCACTCCCTGGTGTCTAGTAGAGTAAAACTGCAAACAAAGAGATTGTATCACACAAAAAAGGAAGACCACATATTGATATCAGCAAGGCTCAAGAACAAAGAAAAGTGGAGGAATTTGCCCAAGCGCTTGAGGAAACACTTCCAGGCCCAGCTAATGCAAATGCACCTGAAAGATGGGAACATTTTAAGAATGCTGTATATAATACGGGCTTGTCCACATTTGGCAAGAAGACCAAAAAGACGGCCAACTGGTTCGAAGTCCATTCGGATGAGTTGATACCAGCCATCGATAAGAGGAGAGCTCTAGCAGCATACAAAGCCTGTCCTAGTGAGTACAACTTGCAGGCTCTTTGACTTGCTCGTAGCAAAGTCCTACAGGCTGCCAGGATATGTTCTAATGATTACTGGCTTCAGCTCTGCTCTCAGATACAGATAGCAGCGGACACACAGGTAAGGATACATTCAAGGGAATGTATGAAGGTATCAAGCAGGCTTTAGGTCCAATACAGAAGAAATCTGCTCCTTTGAAGTCTGCTACAGGTGTGATCATCCAGGACCGAGCACAGCAGATGAAATGCTGGGTGCAGTGCTACTCTGAGCTATATTCCAGAGAGAATGCAGTAACCAAAGAGGCATTAAAAACATCAAGTGCCTGCCTGTCTTGGAAGAGTTGGATAGCAAACCAATTTTAGCAGAAATAAAAGCAGCCTTGGATTCCCACACCTCCGGCAAGGAAAACATCCCTGTTGAAGTGCTGTAAAGAGATAATCAGTACTGAGCTTTATGAATTCTTTTGTCTTTGTTGGAGAGAAGGCCAGGTACCGCTGCACCTGAAGGATGCAAACATTGTCACATTGTATAAGAACAAAGGACTACAATAACTACCATGGCATCTCTCTTCTCAGTGTTGGAAGGAAGCTGCTTGCCCGTGTTGTGCTGACGAGACTCAAGGTCCTTGCAGACAGAGTCTATCCAGAATCATGGTGTGATTTTTGAGCTAATAGATTCACCACTGACATGGGATTCTCCCTCAGACAGTTGAAGGAGAAATGTAGGGAACAACACTCTTTGTGGCCTGCATAGATCTCACAAAAGCCTTTGATTTGGTTAGCAGGGATGACCTTTTTAAAATACCTCTCAAGACTGGATGTCCACCTTGACTCCTTAACATCATCAGGTCCTTTCATAAAGAAATGAAGGGCACTGTAGTTTTTGATGGCTCAACATCAGATCCCTTTGACATCCGAAGTGGAGTGAAACAGGGCTGTGTCCTCGCACTGACCCTGTTTGGGATCTTTTTTGCTGTCATGCTGAACCACGCCTTTGGAACTCCAGCAGAAGGTGTCTATCTCCAGACTAAATCAGATGGAAAGTTCTTTAATCTCTTTAGATTGAAAGCAAAGACCAACGTCCTGTTCGACCAATGATGCAGCCATTTTTGCCCACTCTGCTGAAGATCACAAACAACTCATGAATCATTTTAGCAAGGCCTGCCAAGACTTTGGACTAACAAGCAGCCTGAAGAAAACACAAGTCTTCAGCCAGGGCGTGTACTCTCCTCCCTCTGTTACCATCTCCACACGACAATTGGAGGTTGTTCATGACTTTGTATGCCTTGACTCAACGATCTCTGACACTCTCTCCCTAGATGCTGAGCTGGACAAATGCATTGGCAAAGCAGCTACCATGTTCTCTAGACTCACAAAGAGGGGCGTAATAAG